AGTACATTTTTGGAGGTGGTCTTCCCCTGGATGTGCTAAATTGCACAATACAGGAAAAGGTCCGACCGCAATGTTCTATGAAGTGTCCACGCGATCAATCCTTCGTTTCCTCAGCTAGCACCCAGGATGAGGATATGAAGTACAGTATTGAGATCGCAGACTCTCTACCATCGTTTTTATTGTCCCGTTCTTGGAAAGGGTTCTTTTTGGGAATATGAGCTTTTTCTATCTTGACCCCATTAATCTGTCTAGAAAATGAAGATAACAGGTGATGAAGTGTCCGTGTTCATTGATTCCTATAATGAGACAATGTGAGACATATGGCAAGGTACTGGACATTCCTGTGCGGGATGATTCCAGGGAAAGGGAGAAGGGCACTTTTGTGTACTGTGAGAAAGCGAGACTTACGTCTCCATCTCGTGGCAAGGAGGACAACTTTACAATTCTCTAAAACTTCTAAGTCCACGTTGTATCAGAATGTTGTCGCTACGTTGTCGATGTCAAGAGTGTCAACATTCTCTCAATGTTGATAGCTAATGTTGCAATGACATTCGTAGAAGTGTCGCAGCATGAGTGGCTTCTATAGAGTGAATTTCAGGGACACCTTTTTATTTCACAGCTTTGCTGGATTGTCTCTTACTCAGTGGCACTCCATTTTCGAATACTTCTCCGTATAACATACTTATATTGGAAAAAACTCACTGTCATATTCGCTCCTATCCTCAGGATCTGAAAATCATCAAGAATAATTCTAATCATTCTCTAACCGAGATTCTAGACTCCATTTCACTTTAGTATCGTGACAAGGTAGTCATTAGTCCATGCATTTTAACAATCTATCAGATACTTCAAGTGTTATCTGGTTCTGAGTAATATCGATTTAAAAAAATAAATTCTAGAAATCTTAGACCATGCAGTAATCATGACTCCAATGCATCCTCCTTTCCAAACTTGTTTGCGAATCTTTCGAGGAAAACTTAACCCTTAATGTTTGATTACACCAATGAAACTGTTCTGAATATCTTACAAACGATGCCACTCACCGACACATTTTCCCTTGATACACTTGAGGTTACGCTTGCATCCCCAGTATGGTCTACATCGGCATCCCTCTTCACCATCTTGGCATCTCACACATATGTTGTTTTTGCATTTCTCGTCGCTCTTGCAGGCTCTATGTTTTCCACACTCTACAATAGGATGAAGATACAAAGGTGAGGCGTTACTTGAGAATCCTAAATGTACTCCTGTCACAGCATTGTTGCTCTACTCAAAATATCTCCAAAATACTTGTGGCTCATTCTTCAGATGCATATGATTTGAGTGCAATATGATTTGCATTACGTATTCGGTTCTGAACTCGGCAGACTTTCTGGGAAACCCAGTAGCACATAACGTGAAATCAACATTGATTCAACGTTGATTCAACGTCCGGATGTCGAATCAACTTTAAATCAATGTTGTTTCAATGTTCTACCTGATTTTTGGCAAGAGTATGAGTCCGTTGAACAATGTTCCTTCGCGAATCGAAGAACCCATTACAAATTCAAGAACCACAGGATACGACCATATGATCAAGGGATTTGATAGAGAGAACTCACTGAAATTTTCCTCGCTTCCATTCTCAGGAGAACCTGAAAACAATACATAACCATACCAAATCATCATTACATAAATTCCCTTACTTTATTTGGCATGATTACGAACATCAAAAGGACTTTTAAGTTAACTTCACTCGAGTGGCTCAACCTTGTTGCAAACATTCCAACCTCAAAACACTACTAATCTAATATAATGTATTGCGCAAAAAGAGGAAAATCATACATGAACTTCCACTACGTCTCAAGAAAAGTAGGCCACTGCGGTTTTTAGGATGCCTTCATCTACAAGGTGCCCAGTAGAAAACCAAAGGATTGCAATTAGCACGCATTTAACAAAGAAATGATGTTTTCTATCGACAAGTAAACTCTTGTATAATATTTCTAATACATATTTATATAATATTTCATCTAGTAGAGTATTTGTAATTCCTTTGTGAATAAATAAATCTTGAATAAATCCTTTATGAATAAATAAATCTTGAATACATCCTTTATGAATAAATAAATCTTGAATAAATCCTTTGTGAATAAATAAATCTTGAATAAATCCTTAATAAAAAAAATAAATCCTTGGTTTTCTATTGGGCACCCTGTAGTATCGCATGAGAATCATGACACCATATAATAATACATATTATTTCCAAGTTTTGAAGAATTTGGTCCTGTGCTTCAAATTAAACTTTAAAAAAATTATTATCGAAAGTCGCAGAGAACGAGTAATCTGCGCGCTGCTCTTCGGCAGTTTCATAACTAGCGGGCTCAAACACGTCTTTGGCGGGCACAAAAACAACAGACAATCTCGATGATAACTATGCTTCTTCATCAATTACTCCTTTGCGTTATTCCAAGTGCTTTGCATTTATTGCATTAAAGGGTATCAATATTTTTTACTAGGTGCTTGAGTTGTTTTTCTGAATTCTATATGAACCTATGAACAATTATTATTCATGTTGTGCAAGATTAGGCTAAAAAAAAATAAACTATCACAAATGCACCTGGAACGCAAAGCAGGCTTTAGAGCACATGAAACGATGCCTCAAAAGAATCTAATTTTTTCTACTTCTACTTTTCGATACTTTTCAGTTTAAAGCAAATATACTTGAAAAAAAAACTCACCGTCATAGTCGCTGCTCTTTTCAGTATCTGAAAGAAATAACAAAGTCTCATTATAATTCAGCAAATATTTTGAACCCCCCATATTGCACATGCATTATTTCAGGAAATATATTTGTCCATGGATTTGTACAAATACATCATTCTTCGATTAGGTTTTAAATGACAATATACATGTTATGAATATTCTGTGAACTATGGTGTGTGATTTGTACGCACTTTGAAAGAAAATAATACACCTTAGTTGAAGGTTCCAGGTTTGGGTCGGGAGGTGAAGTGGCACATTCACCCATTATGACGTCCCGAGTCAAGGTCTAGCGTTTATGAATAGGTCTGTCTCCGCATAATGTAGGGGAGCGGCACCAGTTAGCGAAAAAGGAACCAGTTAGCGAGCGAGAATCAAAAAGTACGATTTGACATTTTTGTTACTATATTTTCACACTCCATCCCTAGCATTAATTAATCAATCAATCCATTTTCTGCAGATATCACAAGCTGGAGCGTGTAACTCGAGAAACAAAGGACAAATCGCATTTCATGACCTTCGTTCGCTAACTGGCTCCTTGTTCGCTCCCCTACCTCACTTGGGATTTAAGCATCTTGAATAGGTTCCTCTCGTTCTGCTGCTACCATGAACTTTGGAAAAATCGACCACGCTTCACGTAAACGAGTCGCTCAATGACGTTGCAAAGCCTGGATGAGGTCTCCCCGTCTTTAGCCTCCTTTCGGACGAGTAGAGTCCCAATATATAAACAATTCTCACGCGGAAGTCCTCGTACCTCTTTCATCATTTACGTAATCCGCCTCTGAAATCATATTTGGTAATAATAGTGACTCTAATATATCCATTATTCTAAATATTTTTGGGAAGAAGGATTCGGGAGTCCTTCGTGAAAAACCAAATCTTTATATACCCATTACGTATATATCAATTACATCTGTGAAACCGTTCTAAATACCTTATGTAAGACGCCACTCACCTACGCATTTTCCTTTGACACACTCGAGGTTACCCCAGCATCCCCAGTATGGTTTGCACTGGCATCCCTCTTCACCGTCATGACACTTCACGCACATGTTGTTTTTGCATTTCTCGTCCTTTTTGCAGTGTCCAAATTTTCCACATTCTACGTCAGAAAACAATAATAAAAAAAGATACAAAATTTTGTAGTTACTTTTGAATTCTGAATGTTTTCCTGGCACAACAATGTTACCCAAAGACGCTCTAATGCCTGTATTAGGGCGTTGCGGAAAGCGATACATTTCTCGTGGCACAATATCGCGGTATTTTGGTGATACCGGCGAGGAGCGAAGGGGGGAGGGGGGTTGCCTGGTTAAGTTACGAACTCACAGAAAAAAAAAAAACCGCGAAGAGAGTGAGTCTATGTTGATGGCGTCAAGCCATATATCCATACATCTCTTATCCACATATCCCTTCGATTGAAAACAAGGGTATTCATTCGTTTCAGTCCAAATTGATGGATTCAGTATGCGTGCCGTGGATTAGTGCCGCGACTAAAGTTTCCGAGAGGACTCAAATTATGGAATTCTGGGGAAAAAAAATATGGGAAGGGAAACCATCTCATCATCGTGCATGGCCTCACTTTTCACAAATAACCACTCTCATTTGCGAGGTTGCAAATGTTCTTTTTTTTCTCAAGATCCAAGATTGCTGACAAGGAATGTTAACTGGTTGACCCGTTCGGGATTCATGCTCGCGAGAAAGGCTGATGTAACCATATTACCTGCCCTGCGCGACCGAAATTTCCTCCTGACCCTGGGCTTGTAACGTTGATGCAAAGTAAACGCCAGGCTAGTTGTGTCTTCACAGGATGGGCTGACCCCTGGAGTTTTCACTACGACAACGGGCATTCATCTTCGCCCAGGCGAGACGGTGATTTGTATATTTTCATTTCTTCCACGAAAAGGTCTTCTGGCCTGGTCTTCTGGGTTTAGATTGTTGGAATGCTCTTTCTCATTCTTCCCAAACAACTCTTAAAGAAGCATTCCTTTTTAGGATGAAAGAAACATGGATTTTCCGATTGATACCGGGGAGTTGGACGATTGGGAAGCGGCCTCAGGTATTTACAGGGTGGCCCAAAAAAGTGCACTCTTTTCAACACGCATTTTTGGTATGATGCTTTCAATGATATTTTTTCTTGCTACATGTAATGGAAAGAAGAACGATTCAGCCACAAAATGCTTTTTCAGACTTGAAGTATCTTAAAAGATGACCTAGATAATAATTAAAAAATTGAATTTCGGTTGCAAAAAATCGGCGTTGCGCTAACCAACTCGATCCAACATCCACTCGACGTCCCTGCACTCACAAGAAGAGGAAAAGAAATGCTAACCTTAGCAGACATCGCGAGGCTGACTGGATGTGCCTGCCGCCGTAGGCGGTCGGTGAGCGCAACACAGACTTTTAGTAACCGATATTCAATATTTCTTTTTAGGTCATCCTTTAAGATATTTCAAGTCTGTAAAAAAAAAAACATTTTGTTGCTGAATTTTCCTTCTTTCCATTACTTGTAACCAGAAAAAATATCCTTGAAAGAATCACACCAAAAATGCGCGTTGAAAAGAGTGCCATTTTTTGGGCCACCCTGTATATGCAGTAGTACGCTTCGCCGCCAGGTATGGCGCCGGGGTGACAGTATGATGAGAGGCGGTGTCCTACGGTTTTCATATCGTCGTGACGGTGTGAACATTGGCGATATTCCACAGGTTTTCATATCGTAGCGATAATATCGAAAAATGTAGATGGGGTCGGTATGTTCATCACGAGAACTTAATACAGCGGTGTGATGAAAATACCTGTATACCGCAACACCCTAGCCTGTAAACAACATGCAATTCCCCCTAGTATGAATTTCAGGGCAAAGAGGCTTCTATCACGAATTCAGCCAATGCTGAAAACATTACCGTAGAATTTGAGACAGTGGAGTAATTAGAGACGAAATGTTTCTCAACATATTGTCACGCACTATGGCTGATCCTTTTCTATTTTAATGTCTGTCAACCTTAATTATTTTCATGCTACTGTGCACGATGTTTCCACTCAATTTTGCATGATTTTCTGATTATGTTGGTTGTTTTCCTACTTGTTGCACTAACATCATTGAATTATGAACAAGATCTGTTCGTAACCCACCAAAACTCCCATTTGAGAAAATAAACTGCACATACGAGACAGTTGGAATGTCTAGAGGTTGTTTTTCTTCTTCATCTTTCTGATACAGCTGGACGAACGAAAAAAATATACTTGTACGTGGTACACCCCTGCTATTCACAACCTTCTTCGTGCAATTTGTTTTAGAACATGGCGTGCTTGAGGGTAACTTGGGACAAAGCCCCGAAACCTGCACCGGAAGTTAGAAGCCGACCGTACAGACTATGAAGAAGTGCAAGAAAACACTACAAAAAGTTTGAGATGCCGAGATGCCTGCAAGAAAGGATGCGTCAGAGTATGAGTATTTTTTAGTGCTTTGTTTTACTCGTATTTATTCCATGTACGTACATCCACGTGGAGGCCAAAAACAGTGTGGTTCGTCTTCAGGAATCATCGGGATGATTTATTCTAATCACGTCATTGCACAAGGAAAATATCCTTGAATGTTCCTAGCTACACCATATACAGTATGTCCAAAGTGCGTTTCTAGACCTGAATTAGTGATCAACCTTTTTTTATATTCCCATTGAAGAAAACTGCGCTTCCAGCATACTTCAAAATACCTTCCTTTATTTTTTTATTTCAATGAGAATGGGAACCAGTGACAGCTCTTTCAGTCAGTCATATCGACGAAACCAGAATTTTTTTCTACTTTCATTCACTCAAAAAACTTATCTCCAAGTGTCATCATCTCAAAACTCAAATTAGATTTCAATCAAGATTGAAAGGGATGACTTAGCTTCAGAATAGCCCTTCAGAGATTGGAGAGGGGCATATGGGGTCGCCTAATCCGGTCTAATCCTATCTTTTCTTTTGGAGAATAGAAACATCTCATTAAGATCATACGCAGCTTCTCCAGACGACAGTTCAAGTTAGTTCACTATCTAGTGATGGGGGAAAGGATGGTTTTAAGTGTGAGGGAAAAATTGGACAGTGCCGTTAGGAGGCGAATATGGTCGAAAGTCAGCAAAACTTTGCGAACAATATTTCAGTATTTTGTGACAATAATGTGAGCAGACGGTGCATAGGAGTTATACTAGGGGGAGATATAGTTATACTAGGAGGAGTTATACTAACTAAAAATAAGAATTAACTGGATTTAATAATGGATGAATAGATGGAATCATTTTTTTAAGCTGTGCAGTTGGTGTATTCACAGGCACGGACCATTGGCAGCATGGATTAATTAAAGTGAAATTTTGGTGCATGTTTTATATAAATTATGAAAAAAATCTCCGTTTTAAAGCCATGCGTTTCGATTTAGCGCCACCCTCGATTTAGCATCAAAATCGGCCGAGACCAACGATGGCGGTATATCGAGAGTTGACTGTAAGTTCTTTGAGATTTTTGCGGGGACCATTTCTATCGTCCGAATTAACGGGAGCGATGGATTACTGACTTTTAAAAAAAGAGAGAGTTGACTGATAAGGCTCATGTATAAACCTGACAATTAGCAAGCTGAAAAAAAAACAAGCACATACTGAATTGGACTCACCATCTCCCTGGTAGATCTCTTCGACAGGGTTGTCCTTTTTCAGGTTGAGGTTAGAAAGACTGACAGGCCTGACCAGAGGGAGTTGAATCGGGGCGATCGTGCGATTGTTTACCAGGGGTTGATTCGGGGTTGTCACATTGCCGGTCTGGAGTGCTATCGGGGGATTGTCCGTGACATTGGAAACTGGGGAAGAGGACGTGGAGAGGGCAAGGATGAGGATAAAGAAGGAAGTCGTAGATATTGAGTCCATTTTTACGGCAAGAGTCCCCACGATCGCAGGATCGCGACTGTCGACGTGGCTTTCCGTCTCTCTCCTTTATTGACGATAAACATAGAGGCATCAGCGTTTCCTGATGGGCAGCTATCCGACAATGTTGTCTCGCGTCAGCAACTCAAACGATGATGACACAAGCGTCTCGGAGTATATAGACGAGATCTCCACGCTTAGAGATGGCGTCCTCTGCAGAACTTTTTAAGTGAAAACAATTTTCCGAGTTCGTCCATGCAGAACCGCATAGCCAATTTTGTTTATCCATCCGGTGTTACGATCATGGACCTCGTGGATTTGACCTTCGTGGACTGCGTCCCGATAGTGACCCTTACCTTCATGGGCAACGGAATAAGAACCTCTTCTCTCCGAGCTCTCCCCTGTCAGCTTGAATGTCCTCCATTTTCAGTGACGATCTCGTCACACCATCAATGGTGTGACGGCGGTGTGACAGCAGGGATCTCAAACTCGTTTCGGTGTGCGGGCCGCACCGGGCATTTTTACCCTGCGGGCCGAGAGCTTCAGACCCCTCGTCTACAATGTTTCACCTGTTCACTTCTAATCCATGCTTGTATGGGCTGTGATTCAATGTAGAGTCGAGCCGGGAATGTCATCCTGCCATATTATTTCCTCGTGCCTTTCACATGACATCAATATGGAAGGTTAGCATCGTTTCTGATCGGGTACTATTGGCTGGGGAAGTCCGACTAGAAGACGAATGATGACCTGGACCACGACACAAGTATTGACTGCGTGGTGCCATGATATTCTGGGTTGTGACCCAAGTCACAATCGAACGCACCCATTGCTGCTTTTACACTGCAGCGAAAGGAAGCAAGGATTGCTTCCAGCGAAAGGAAGATTCATGCAGTAAAGGTCACCTCGCAAAAAAAAGTCGAAATGATGATCGTGATTCAAGAAATGCACAGAGCGGAGTACACCCTGCTATCGACGCAATAACTTTCGGTGGTCTGATACCGCTCCGTTCGCAACCCGGGGAATTCTGCGTTCTTGTGGCGAATAAACGACTGCTACCGCATTCATTTTGTAATGGTTAGTGTCCACCCATTGGAAACAGCCGCGATGCATGATGATACGCGGTCGAAAAATAAATCACGAGACTGAAGGTGTCTTTCTTCCTTGGGTCCTTTTTGATGGGTAAATAACGTCCGTGATGATAAATTTCGATCGGTGAGCAACGTTCTTAAAATCGGAGAGATGCAAGCATGATATTGATTATAACTCTTTCAAGGGCTGGCTTTGACGAGCTTGGCTAGATCGGCCTGCAACGAGTCGCCCTTTCGCAAAGGCCACCTCAGGGGTATGGCATGCCCGCCTGAGGCCCCCCCTCCTTGTGACACTCTTGCTCATGTGGCTGGCAAACTATTTATATGTATCGACTAATTTTAAAGCCACGTAAACACGGAGTTTGTGTCCTTAGCAGTTAGGAAACTAATTAGGATTCTGCTTGGAGAGTGGTTTCGGTGTTGTGGCGTCTCCTTTCGGTGGCTTTCAAAAAGGTAACAGAACTGATATATCGTGAATGACATCGTGACTCATCCTCGTATTCTGGTGTGTTGCAAATCGTATACCTAACCAACTTGATTAAGACCCCATGTGATAGAAAGGGACAACCTCCTTCACGGATGTGACGGGAAGAGGGAGAGCATTTCCCCTCGAGGAATTCATATCCAGAGGCCTGTTTCATGGAATTTACAAGTTGTACAAGTTACGAGTTACAAGTACTTGCAAGGGTCGTGTCTTCTTGTTTAACTTTTCCAGCTGGTCCCGCTGGCCCTTCGCACAACTACGATACGACCCTTGTAATTACTTGTTACTAGTAACTCGTAGAACTTGTAAATTCCATTAAATAGGCCCCAGGCAGGCGAGGAGAGGAGGGAGAAGCACGAAGAAACCAGACAGAGAAGCCGAAGTCCTTTCTCCTGCCTCGGCATGGATGACCTCTTCGTAGAACCGTATGGGTATTCTCCGTGGCATAAGTCGACAGTGTAAACTCTCCCCATTGCGTTAGCAACTTTTTTAAAGAATGTTTTAGAAATATTGTGCCGAAGACACACCATGAGCAGCGGCACGATGGCTATCGGCAATGGTAGCTCATGTAGAATCCAAGCTGTCTCTTGATTTCTGTTTTGAATAGAGCGAAATATTAGGGTTAAAATAGGAATTGTATGGCATGTGGAATTTCATGATGTGGGACGGGTATCAAGGGGATCAGCCTTCGGTTGTTCCTGTGATGAATTTGCCTCAAACTGAGACAGAATCCTCAAATAATAGGATAATTGAAAACAATCGTGGGACGTGATACCGAATGTACTAGTCTAGGCATGGACGCTGGACATCTCAGCCACCGCCTCTCTAGATTTAATACACGAGCATTTAGAGAGAATAGCTGTTCTATAGCGAAGCGAATAGACAGGGACTGGACTCGAGAGAAGCCGAACTATGTGCTACGCTGCATATGCAGCATTGCCGGATGTTTTTCCAAGCCGTACTCCTTCACCCCTCACGTCATGAGGCAGTCCAAGAGCCAGTTTTTCAGTCTCGTTCACCTGCTTATCAGCAGGCACGAAGGCCTTGAAGGCTCGCACATGTCTCTAATCCTCCATGTTGTCCCCTTCTAGACCTCACTATCTTCTCTGATAATAGTCACTGGAGATTTCAACTGCAGGGTAGACCAACCTTCCTGCCGAGGTGACAGCCGCACCACTACAATGCTAGACGCCTTCTTCGAGCGGATTACTGATTCCAACAGCCCAACATACGAGATATATAAATCTCGTATATAAATCCGAATAGCATAAATGAAATTGATTTGACATACACAAACTGGCCCCCGAAAGCAAGTCGTGAGGGAAGCAACGGTCCAGCCCTCCCAAGTGAGGGAACACCTACTAGTTATCACTATATGGAGATTTGACCTCTGCTATGAAGCACCCTAGGTTCAGCAAGGACTACTGAAGAAGAAAAGCAAGATAGTACCCGAGAGGCTTATGTCCCCCCAGCAAACCTCAGCCTCATAAGACGACCTAGATTCAACCCTCTCACACCTCTATACCTCAATGTTAGAAGCTGCGCCATCCGTAACCCGAAAAACCAGAAAGCACCAACCCTGAGGCCAGTTTCTCGAATAATCTAAACCTTTTCTAACTCTTTTATTAAACGGACTCTTTAAGAATTGAAAATAAAATTGAAACAGTTTAGAATTAGGTTAGAAAGTGGTGCTTCTCGAAACATCTAAATCTAAACTTTTTCTTTTATTTTTCTTAAGTCCGTTCTGCCTTTGAAGGGGGATTGAATCCTTTCATTTTGCACATTGATGCTCCAAGTTTCTGAGAGTTCCACTAGTGTGGCTGAGACTCCTAAATCGAACTTTCAGTAAAGCAACAGCTCTTTCAACGATGGAACGAGCCCTTGCATGACAAGTCCCAAAGAAATTTTGATCCAAAATAAGTCCATTGGACACTTGGACATCCAATGTATATCCTCCTCGGACATCCACTGGATGGCTAAATGTCTCGCCCAAGGATAATCCTTGGACATGTCCATTTACCCGGTCTAAGCATACTTTTCGATCATGATCGAAATATCATAATAACTCGATTATGATCGAAAACCATACTTAGACCCTCATAACTGATAGCTCGATCAACATAACTCGATAGCCCTCTAGGACCCCTACAACTGATCGAAATTTCATACTTAGACCGAAATCGTAATTGAGAGCAACATCAAACTTTACCACCGACGAATCCAGTCATCTCTAGCCCTTTTCCTGGCCATCACAACCAAAAATCGGATGTCCAGATGGCTTTGTTCTTCACTTTCCCAGTTTCGAAAAATGCTTAGGTACGCTCTTCACCCCATATTCTAATGAGAGTTGTTGCTTCATCGATAAAGGAAAAACGCCTTTCACAAGGCCTAAGACCATCACAACTCGCTTACATCTTCCAATTATTGTTTACAAGAAAGACACGAGGTCACCGGCGGCAATTGCTGCGCCTGTCATGGGATCTGCCTGGATAGCCACCAATAAGACTCATTATCTTCATTTTCCTTTCGACAACGATTTGTACATACAGGGAGTGGAAGCCTTTTCTGCTCACGTAGAGGTATTCCCTGTCCTTGGGTGGTTCAGTGGGGATATGGGTTCCATCAATTGCCCCGATGACTTTGGGGGATTGAAATTCCCCAATTTTCAGAAATCAGTTTTCACCCTGTGCACTTCGTTTACTGATGAGGGAAATTTCACAAAATCTCGAACGCGCTGAGCGAGAATTTCACAGACAGTATGAATGGCACGGAGAACTGATGACTAGGAGATACATAGTCCATCTCCCAACACGGAATAGATGGCACCAGTAGCGAGGAATCTCAATGTACAGCACAATATTAGATGAAGAGCCAATGCTTGACTACTGAAGGTACCTCTCTGAATGTCAGCACTCACTATGGTGCATATATCCAGGATGATCCAGGATGGGGCATATATCCAGGAGGGATCTCGACAGTCGATATCGATGTCGTAGCTCATCACCCCTATAGTTTTCAAGAGAACTAAGGCAATCACGAAAAACCCGTTCCCTCCTCAGCAATTTTCGCCTGCGAAAACGTTCTCGTGTCGCCATTTCTCATGCGAATGTAGAAGAAAGTATGGGGGAAAAATGCTCCTTCGAGAAACAAAATATGTCTTATCATTCTATATGGTCCGCGAACCATATAGAATAAGAATATCCAGGTCAAGCTGATAATTTTAGAAGAGTTTACCACGTAAGACACCTCCTTGGCTGTCTTTTTCCAAACTAAAACTTCTTAAACGCAAAAAAAGATTTAGCATATAAAAAGTTTAGAACTTTCGAGAAACCGCTTCATCTGCTTTCAAGCAGATGAAGAGAACAATGTCTCTGCGAATTGATACACTCAAAAATCTGATCCCCTCTTCAGCATACTCTGAAGCACAAAGGCAGTACAAATCCATGCTGAGACAGAAAAGAGCATCCCATTGTGAGACAGAGCTCCTTATGAAGCTGAATTCCTCTGAGATA